TCACTCACCCCTCTCTCTCTCCCCTCTCGCTCACTCTCCCCTCTCTCTCACTCTCCCCTCTCTCTCACTCACTCACCCCTCTCTCTCTCCCCTCTCGCTCACTCTCCCCTCTCTCTCACTCTCCCCTCTCTCTCACTCACTCTCCCCGCCCTCACTCTCTCACCCTCCCCTCCCTCTCACCCTCCCCTCCCTCTCACTCTCCCCTCTCACTCACTCTCCCCTCTCTCTCACTCTCCCCTCTCACTCATTCTCCCCTCTCTCTCACTCCACTCTTCCCTCTCTCTCACTCACTCTCCCCTCTCTCACTCTCTCACCCTCCCCACCCTCTCACTCTCCCCTCTCACTCACTCACTCTCACTCACTCTCCCCTCTCTCACTCTCTCACCCTCCCCTCTCTCTCTCACTCTCCCCTCTCACTCTCTCTCACTCACTCTCCCCTCTCTCTCACTCACTCTTCCCTCTCACTCACTCACTCTCCCCTCTCTCTCACTCACTCTCCCCTCTCTCACTCACTCTCCCCTCTCTCTCTCTCACTTACTCTCCCCTCTCACTCACTCCCCCTCTCTCTTCACTCACTCACCCCTCTCTCTCACTCACTCTAACCTCTCACTCACTCACTCGCTCCTCTCTCTCTCCCCTCTCTCACTCACTCTCCCCTCTCACTCACTCACTCACCCCTCTCTCTCACTCACTCACCCCTCTCTCTCACTCACTCACCCCTCTCTCTCACTCACTCTCCCCTCTCACTCACTCACTCACCCCTCTCTCTCTCACTCTCTCGCTCACTCTCTCCCTCTCTCTCACTCACTCTCCCCTCTCACTCTCCCCTCTCTCTCACTCTCCCCTCTCTCTCGCTCTCGCTCTCTCTCTCTCTCTCTCGAGCGTGCTCGGAGGAGGTCGCATCCAAGTGGAGCTCCGAGCTGCACACCTGGAACAATGGAGGCCTGATTTTTCCATCAAATTAGGCCAGGCCTGAGAGAGGTTACAATGGGGAGATTAAACAACACTCTTTCCCCACGTTTTGTAAATGTTTATTCCTTTTGATTTCATTTTATTTTGCTCACTGAGTCGTCCCGAAAAGTTTATTTCGAGCGGCTCGTGAGCTGGACGGAGAACGGAAGCAAAAGAAACAACAACAGCGAGCCTGTGCGCAGGTGTGCTGCTGCTGCCGACCACCACCACCACCATGGCGCAGCGCACCGCGCTGGAGGCTCTCACGAGGAGGAACGGGCTCGCCGTCTATCCGCCGGCGGAGGTCGCCGTCGACGCCGTCGCCGCCGCGGTGGCCGCGCGCGTCGGCTACGCCGGCGTCGTCGCGGCCCAGCGGCAGAGCGGCGGCGTCACGGTGTACGTGGCGGAGGAGGCGATGGCGGCGCGCCTGGTGGAGACGGGGCTCACCGTGGGTGAGCTTCACCTGCGGTGCGCCCCGCTCGCCGCGCCCGCCGTCAGGGTGGCGCTCTCTGGAGCGCCGCCCTTTCTGAGCAGCGCCGACATCCTGCGGGACCTCCAACGCTACGGGACGGCGGTGTCGTCCATCGCGATGCTGCCCCTGCGGACGAGGGACCCCAGGCTGGCGCACGTGCTGACGCTACAGCGCCAGGTTTTCATGATATTGAAGGACGGCAACGCGGACCTGGACGTGAATTTTAAATACACGGTACAGGGCTGCGCGTACACGGTGTACGCGTCCACAGCTAGCATGAGATGCTACGGGTGTGGAGTTAAGGGCCACGCCCGGAGGAACTGCCCGAACAGGGCGAGCGAGTCTGCCGTGCCGGCCGCTGTAGGGCGGGCGGAGCAGCGGCAGGCGCAACAGCAACAACAACCACAACAACAACCACAACAACAACAACCACAACCACAACGACAGCAGCGGCCGATGCCGCAACAGCAACAACAGCGGCAGCAGTGGGGACAGCAGGGAATGCTCCCCGCCCCAGCAGCTGACTGTGAGGAACCGATGCTTGAGGAGGAGGACGAGCGAGGTCTCTCCGACCGTCCCCAGCGGAGGAAGCGGAGGGTCGGGAGCGACCCGGCAGCAGCGGAAGCGGCGGGGCGCGACGGCGCCCCCGCGAAGCGGACGGTGGTCGCCGGCAGCGACAGCGAGCCGGAGCGCCACTCGGACGCGGCGACGGGGAGCGACGGCGAGCCCGAGCCGCGGGACGGGATGGGCGACGACGGCGGCGGTGTCTATCCGCCGGGCGGCGCCGCGGAAGCGGAGCGACCCTCGGGGCCGGATGCGGCCCCGATCGCCCCGGGATCGCGAACCACCGCTCCCCCCCCCCTCACCGACGTCGCCGCGGCGCTCTCGAGCGCCGCGGCGACGACGGGGACCCGCCCCGAGCCGGAGGAGATCCCGGCCGCGGGTGGGTCGAGCGGAGGGGAGGCCACCAGGCCCCAGGTGGGCGGGCACGCGGGCCTCGATGACCGATTATTATTATCGGAGTCGAGGTTGGAGTCGACGTCAACGTCGACGTTCAATGACCACGGCTCCATCGCCGGCACAGATGGTGAAAGCGTCGACACGGACGACGGCGACGAGGTCGAGGAGTATGCCCCGAGCGTCGTCCTCGGCTTCATACGAACCACTCCCCGGGAGCCCAAGTCGGAAGTCGTAGTCACCTTCCCCGACATGGCGGGCTTTCTGGCGACCGCGTCAATCATCAATCAGGACCCGGACAAGTACGGCTGCACTCGGTGGGAGCGCATCGTACTGAGAACGTTAATAGACCGTGTGCAGGAGGAGCTAGACGCTCTTCAAAGAAGGGTGAGACTCTTTATGCCCCCCAGTCACGGGACATGCGGAACCCGGACGAGTAAGGCTACACTCAAGTGTGAGCGCAGGTTGATGAAACGGGTGATGGGGGAGCGAGCTGCTACTCGTCGCAAGGCGGGAATCGGCACCCCCCTCTCACGAGATATACCGCTTGGCTCGCTGGTACGCCGGGGCCGGGCGGGTACATCGCAGCTAGGGCAGACCTGCGAGATTTGAATATTTGCTCGCGAGAGAGGTTTTTGGTAAGCCGATGCATTGCCGATTCGTTGGTTGTTCATCGTTTTGTGCTGCCTCTTTGGATGCTCCTCCCTCGAATTGAGCGCTACCGGCTGCGCCGCTGGCGTGTGAACGGTGTACGGGTCAAGCTGCTGACTGTTCACTGTGCGCGCGGAGACGAGCGCAGAACCCGAAGCGGATATTTACTTTGTGTTGCTGGCGATCAGCTGCGTCGTTTGACTGTGCGTGCGATGACGCGCGGACCTGTTTTGGTTTGGTGGCAGGGACCACCCGTGATCTCGTGGGCGGTGCGTGGTTCGCACTTTGGACCCGGATTTTTTCCCGCTTCGGTGGTTTTTTTTTTGTGTGTGGAACGGTCTCTGGGTGATATGTACGCCTGTGTTGACGGGGGCTCGACTGTGGTCGGGGTCGCCGGCCTCGAGCGCGATGTCGCGCACGGAATTTGTGTATTGGTTTTGTTGATTGGCGACTCACGATTGTTCACCATAACCGCCCAGGGCATTTGCTTCTGGGGAATAAAGGATTTTCAAAGTCTCCCCTCTCCCTCACTCTCCCCTCTCTCTCACTCACTCTCCTCTCTCACTCACTCACCCCTCTCTCTCACTCTCTCACTCACCCCTCTCTCTCACTCTCTCACTCTCCCCTCTCTCTCTCACTCTCTCTCACTCTCCCCTCTCTCTCACTCTCTCTCACTCTCCCCTCTCTCTCACCCTCCCCTCTCTCTCACTCTCCCCTCTCTCTCACCCTCCCCTCTCTCTCACTCTCTCTCACTCTCCCCTCTCACTCCCTCACTCTCCCCTCTCTCTCACTCACCCCTCTCTCTCTCTCACTCTCCCCTCTCTCTCTCACTCTCCCCTCCAGACTTCGGAGCGAAACCGCTGCAGCTGACACCGCGGCGCCCGAGCAGAACCGATGACGGCCGACAGTTTCGCCTCGCTCCGCCACCGCTGCCGCAGTGACTCCGTTTATTCACGCGGCCGCAACAAACGCGGACGCTTACAGTCAAGACACGTTCAAGAGCGCCTCCGGCACCCCGCAATCGTTACACGACTCAGAAATAATAATACTACGGACTAACAATGAAGTCAAAATGCACGGGAATGATATTCAGAGTGCGTGGCGGTCGCGAGGTGCTACAGGATGCGCCAGAGAACGCAGAGCGAGGGGCAGAGGTGGCACGGATCGGCACCGATCGGCACCGCGTTCATGCCCCTGGCGCTCCTCACCCCGCGCTCCTCACCCCGCGCTCCTCACCCCACGCTCCTCACCCCGCGCTCCTCACCCCACCGCTCCTCACCCCGCGCTCCTCACCCCGCGCTCCTCACCCCACGCTCCTCACCCCGCGCTCCTCACCCCCGGGCTCCTCACCCCACGCTCCTCACTCCTGGGCTCCTCACCCCGCGCTCCTCACCCCTGGGCTCCTCACCCCACGCTCCTCACCCCGCGTTCATGCCCCCCGCGCTCCTCACCCCGCGCTCCTCACCCCGCGCTCCTCACCCCGCGCCCCTCACCCCGCAGAAGCACAACAATGGCAGCGGTGGGGAGAGGGGGGCAGAGGCGTCCATCAGGGGTGGCCAAGGGTGTCCAGGCATGGCGAGGCAGCCGTGGCGGAGAGGGCATGGAACGCTTGGGCTCGGCAAGGTGGCCGAGGCAAAACAAGAGAGGGTGGGGCCAATAGTACGACACGAAAGACGAGCGTCCTCCCGCATAGCCCTCAGCAGACTGTCGGGGCAAGCGCTGTTAGCGAGCAGCAGCACACGAGGGGATGGGTGGCCAGCGCCACGCCCGGCCGCCTTTGTCTCCCCCAGTGGCGATTTTTAAGCACCGCACCGGGTACTCATTTGAGGCTGAGTCGACCTAGGGGAGGCCCAAGACCGGTTGAGATAATCGTCACCGGCGTTGACCGTGAGCGAGAACCGAACTCGGGTCCCCGGATTGGCAGCGCTAACCGCTGCACCACGGCTCCCCAAGAGTACAACAAAGACGCACACACGTGCACGTAGACGCGCACGCACACACACACACACCGACATGAGCACACACGCACGCACACACACACACACCGACATGAGCACACACGCACGCACACAGCAACGCACGTGGTAGCTACGCGAAGCAAACGCGCGCGTACAAGAAGAACACGCGCGAGCACGCACGGGCACACCGGCACACGGACGCGCGGACGCGCAAAACACGGGGGCGCGCAAAACACGGGGGCGCGCGGGTGGTCGGGCGGTCTATGACCTCGCCTGTGCCCGGCGGTCCTCGCTGAAGAATCCGCGCAGCAGCAGCACCTGCCCCGCGCCCACGAGCAGCAGCAGCACAGTCTCGCCCAGCGACCAGAGCGCCACGCGCGTGCGCAGCTCCTCGGCACGCGCGCGGCCCTGGCTCTCGCGCAGCCGGTGGTGCGTCTGGTAGTCCAGCGTCGCCCGCAGGCCCTCGTGGACGCTCACGCACGACGACTCCATCTGCGCGGGGTGGGGGGCAATGTTGGTGGGTGGTTGTGTATTTGGGTGGTTGTGCAGAATGGTTGTGCAGAATGGTTGTGGAGGGTGGTTGTGTATTTGGGTGGTTATGCAGGGTGGTTGTGGAAGTTGTGTATTTGGGTGGTTGTGCAGGGTGGTTGTGGAGGGTTGTGTATTTGGGTGGTTGTGCAGAGTGGTTGTGGAGGGTGGTTGTGTATTTGGGTGGTTGTCCAGGGTGGTTGTGGAGGGTGGTTGTGTATTTGGGTGGTTGTGTATTTGGGTGGTTGTAGAGGGTGGTTGTGTATGTGGGTGGTTATGCAGGGTGGTTGTGGAGGGTGGTTGTGTATTTGGGTGGTTGTGGAGGGTGGTTGTGTATTTGAGTGGTTGTGCAGGGCGGTTGTGGAGGGTGGTTGTGTATTTGGGTGGTTGTGCAGGGTGGTTGTGGAGGGTGGTTGTGGAGGGTGATTGTGGAGGGTGGTTGTGTATTTGGGTGGTTGTGCAGGGTGGTTGTGGAGAGTGGTTGTGGAGGGTGGTTGTGGAGGGTTGTGTATTTGGGTGGTTGTGGAGAGTGGTTGTGGAGGGTGGTTGTGGAGGGTTGTGTATTTGGGTGGTTGTGGGTTAGGATAGTTGTGACGCAGTGGTCAGCGCGCCGCGCTACGAACCCGGCCACCCGAGTTCGATTCCCGCTCACGGTCAACACCAGTGAATCGGTCCTGGGCCTCCCCTAGGTCGACTCAGCCTCAAATGGGTACCTAGTGCGGCTGAGCGTCGTTGCCCACCCCCTCGTGTGTCGTGTCGGCCTTCATAGGCGCTGCTACTCGCTAACAGCACTTGACCCAACAGTCTGCTAAGGCTACGCGGGGGGGACCTTTACCTTTGGTGGTTATGGATGCCGGCGGTGTTATGGGGGGGCAGCTTGCATTGGGAAGTGGATGCGGCTGCTGTGGGTAGAAGGTGATTGTGGGTGATGGTTGTAGATTGGTGGTGCTGGGTGGTGGTTCTGGAAGTTGTGAAAGGTTGTTGTTGTTGTTGTTGGTGGTGGTGGTTCCTTTAAAAACAGCAGGAGTAGGGGTGAGTAGTGGCTGAGGGTGGTGTTGTTGCGGGGTGGCTGAAGTGTGAATGGGGGTGAGCGTGGCGAGGTTGGCGCAGGCTGGTTGTTGTGAGTGGTGGTGCTTGTTGTTGGTGCAGGGTGGTTGTTGTGAGCGGTGGTGCTTGTGAGTGGTGGTGCTTGTGAGTGGTGGTGCTTGTGAGTGGTGGTGCTTGTGAGTAGTGGTGCTTGTGAGTGGTGGTGCTTGTGAGTGGTGGTGCTTGTGAGTGGTGGTGCTTGTGAGTGGTGGTGCTTGTGAGTAGTGGTGCTCGTTGTGGGTGGTGGTGCTTGTGAGTGGTGGTGCTTGTGAGTGCTGGTGTGTGTGAGTGGTGGTGCTTGTGAGTAGTGGTGCTCGTTGTGGGTGCAGGGTGGTTGTTGTGAGTGGTGGTGCTTGTGAGTGGTGGTGCTTGTGAGTGGTGGTGCTTGTTGTTGGTGCAGGGTGGTTGTTGTGAGTGGTGGTGCTTGTGAGTGGTGGTGCTTGTTGTTGGTGCAGGGTGGTTGTTGAGTGGTGGCGCTTGTGAGTAGTGGTGCTTGTGAGTGGTGGTGCTTGTGAGTGCTGGTGTGAGTGGTGGTGCTTGTGAGTGGTGGTGCTTGTGAGTGGTGGTGCTTGTGAGTAGTGGTGCTTGTGAGTAGTGCTTGTGAGTGGTGGTGCTTGTGAGTGGTGGTGCTTGTGAGTGGTGGTGCTTGTGAGTGCTGGTGCTTGTGAGTGGTGGTGCTTGTTGTTGGTGCAGGGTGGTTGTTGTGAGTGGTGGTGCTTGTTGTTGGTGCAGGGTGGTTGTTGTGAGTGGTGGTGCTTGTGAGTGCTGGTGCTTGTGAGTAGTGCTTGTGAGTGGTGGTGCTTGTTGTGAGTGGTGGTGCTTGTTGTTGGTGCAGGGTGGTTGTTGTGTGTGCTGGTGCTTGTGAGTGGTGGTGCTTGTTGTTGGTGCAGGGTGGTTGTTGTGAGTGCTGGTGCTTGTGAGTGGTGGTGCTTGTGAGTGGTGGTGCTTCTGAGTGGTGGTGCTTCTGAGTAGTGCTGGTGAGTGGTGGTGCTTGTGAGTGGTGGTGCTTGTGAGTGGTGGTGCTTGTGAGTGCTGGTGCTTGTGAGTGCTGGTGCTTGTGAGTGGTGGTGCTTGTTGTTGGTGCAGGGTGGTTGTTGTGAGTGGTGGTGCTTGTTGTGAGTGGTGGTGCTTGTTGTTGGTGCAGGCTGGTTGTTGCAAGTGGTGGTGCTTGTGAGTGGTGGTGCTTGTGAGTAGTGGTGCTCGTTGTGGGTGGTGGTGCTTGTGAGTGCTGGTGCTTGTGAGTGGTGGTGCTTGTTGTTGGTGCAGGGTGGTTGTTGTAAGTGGTGGTGCTTGTGAGTGGTGGTGCTTGTGAGTAGTGGTGCTTGTTGTGAGTGGTGGTGCTTGTTGGTGCAGGGTGGTTGTTGTGAGTGGTGGCGCTTGTGAGTGGTGGTGCTTGTGAGTGGTGGTGCTTGTGAGTGCTGGTGTGAGTGGTGGTGCTTGTGAGTGGTGGTGCTTGTAAGTGGTGGTGCTTGTGAGTGGTGGTGCTTGTGAGTGGTGGTGCTTGTGAGTGCTGGTGCTTGTGAGTGCTGGTGCTTGTGAGTGGTGGTGCTTGTGAGTGGTGGTGCTTGTGAGTGGTGGTGCTTGTGAGTGGTGGTGCTTGTGAGTGCTGGTGTGAGTGGTGGTGCTTGTGAGTAGTGGTGCTTGTAAGTAGTGGTGCTCGTTGTGGGTGGCGGCGGCGGCGGCGTTTGGGGCTCCCACCTGCGTGAGCGCCGTGACGCGGCGGCCCATCTCGGGCATGAGCGGCGCCTCGTCCCCGACCTGCAGCTCGAAGTAGACCGTCTTGTGCGAGAAAGTGGAGAACTCGTTGGAGAAGCAGAAGCTGTGAAGGCCGCCGCGCTCGCTCGTCCACGCGAAGCTGTCGTGCTGCTTGCGCGTCTCCGTGTACAGCACGCCGCCCTCGGGGCCCTCCAGGCGGCAGTCCACGTCGTAGTGTCCCCCGGTGATCACCTGGCACGTGCAGCCAGGACGTGAGCCGCCTCGCCGGGCACACGGGCGGAGCTGGCGGGTTCGATCCCGGCCTGACGATGCCTGCCGCTGTGCGCGCGGAGTCCGCGTGTCTCTCTCCGTGGTGAGATGTTGACTACCTCGCCTGGTCTACAGGAGGTCGTGCGTTCGATCCCGACGCCTGTTGTATACTTTTGTTTGTGTGTTTGCTCCCTCACCCCGTGGTCGCGTGGATCTTTAATCCGGGGTCTCCGGTTTTCCCCTCCGCGTTTAGAATTGTGCGTTTAAGAGTAAGCCACTTCGTTGAGTTATTATTTGTGATTGCCAGGTCGCTTCTGAAAAAAAGAGCTGTATAGGTCAGTGGGGCCTTATCTAGTCAAATAAAAATTAGTTTAAATGTTTTAGAGACAACTCCTATCGGCTGCCCCTCACCTCGATTCCAGCCCCCCCCCTCCCCCACCGCTCTCACCTGTGGCTACTCAGAATCAGAATATAATCTTTAGAATGGAGGAATCTGATGAGCTATAAAGCTCTTTGTCCACAGATGTCCAGTAGGGGCGGATCAGAACGTTACGATAACAATACAAAAGAATCACGATAGGAGTGCAGAGGTGACTCAAGTGGCTAATAACATAAAAAAAAACATTTTTTAAAAATTGTATTTTACCAGGTAAGGCTCACTGAGCTATCAGCTAATTTGGCCATCACGAATGGCAGCTCAACGAAAGTGGGCTGACATCATCATCATCGCGTGGACATTGACGGCATAGGGGTCCGTAACCTTTGCAGGAAGAAGAAGAGCCATTATTAATATTATTTAGTTTTTGACAAAATAGTTGGGAGAGCCACATGACGCACGCAGAGCTACTTGTACACAACAACATTCTGACTTAAACTAAACAAGTGGTGAACTAAACTGTTGTCCACTCAGATATTTTTTACCCCCCCTACATTCGTTATTCTGTAACAACAACGCAGTTTGTGACCCTTGTACAATTTGTAGTCAACAAGACATTCCACAGTGACCCACATTATGTAATCAATTATCTTTACGTTAAATTGTGTTTAAAGATTTTAGTTTGTTTTTAACCGAACTGCCCGCGCAAGGGGACAGTCACAGAGCTGCCGCGTGCCTCGCTCCGGGCCGCAGGTTGGCAACCAGTGACAGCAGCTCACCCCGGGGGGGGGGGGGGGTGGTGGGGGTGGACCCCTTCACCCGTCCCCCTCACCTCCTCACCCCGGGGGGGGGGGGGGTGGTGGACCCCTTCACCCGTCCCCCTCACCTCCTCACCCCGGGGGGGGGGGTGGTGGACCCCTTCACCCGTCCCCCTCACCTCCTCACCCCGGGGGGGGGGGGTGGACCCCTTCACCCGTCCCCCTCACCTCCTCACCCCGGGGGTGGTGGACCCCTTCACCCCCCCCGTCCCCCTGACCTCCTCACCCCGGGGACCCCCTCACGCACTCACCCCGGCTCCCCTCACCGGGTACTCGAGCGAGGCGCGGGCTCCCGCCGCCACGTGCTGATAGAAGCACTGCCTCGCGTTGTCGGGCAGCTCGAACGTGAGCTCCGTGGCGGACACCACCGGGACGCCCAGCGGCAGGAGCAGGAGGAGGAGGAGCGGCCACACGGCCAGGGCCCCCACCACCACCTGGGGACTCCCTCGGCTCCTCATGAGACCCCGGCTCAGCGCATCCAGTAGTGACCCCCTCTCACACTCACCCCCCTCACACTCACCCCCCTCACCCACTGACTGCCTCACTCACCCCCTCACCTCCTCACTCACCCCCTCACCCACCGACTGCCTCACTCACCCCCTCACTCACCCCCCTCACTCACCCCCTCACCTCCTCACTCACCCCCTCACCCCTCACCCACCGACTGCCTCACTCACCCCCTCAGCAGTCCCCGAATCCGCTCTGTGCGTGAATTCGCTTCGTCGAGTCCCCTCTGTCCCGAGTCCCCTCTGTGCCGAGTCCCCCTCTGTGCCGAGTCCCCACGTCCCGAGTCCCCCTCTGTCACAAGTCCCCCTCTGTGCCGAGTCCCCCTCTGTGCCGAGTCCCCCTCTGTACGCTGTCCCCCTCTGTCACGAGTCCCCCTCTGTGCTGTCCCCCTCTGCGTTGATTGACAGCGCCACGCGCATGCGCACAACCGTTCGCTCGCTGACCCGCGCGAGGCGACGGCCCACCCCACGTAACTGGGGGCGGGGCCCCCAACGTGGCACGTCCACGTGGCGGAAGCGGCCGTGACGTCACGCGGAAAAACAAACACGTGACGTCACGACGGCTCGTGACGTCGCGCGAGGAATACCATTCCGGGGACGTCACTGCGGTGGGGGGGGGGTAAACAAGCGGCCCTACGTCACGCCCCGCTCCAGACGTGCGCACGAATGACGTCATCCGTAAGCATTGGTAACCCGCGTGACCCCGCTGACCAATCGCACACAAACGGGGTCTGGAGGTCGAGGGAAGCGGTCGTGCGAGTCTCTTCGGCAACAACAGCCACTTCGTGAGTTACAACAACAACCACCACCACCACCACCAACCACCCTACACACAACCACCACCACCTTCCACAATAATCACAACCATCAACAACCATTCACCACCACCAACACCCATTCACCACCACCAAAAACCATTCACCAACAACCACCACCACCAACAACCCTACACACAACCACCACCATCCACCCTACACACAACCACCACCATCCACAATAACCACAACCACCACCAACAACCACCCACCACAACAACCCTACACACAACCACCACCATCCACAATAACTTACAACCATCCACAACCCTACACACAACCACCACCATCTACAACAACCATAACCACCCACCACTATCCACAACCCTATACACAATCACAACCATCCCCAACAACCCTACACACAACCACAACTATCCACCACTATCCACAACCCTACGCACAATCACAACCATCCACAACAACCCTACACACAACCACCACATTCCACAATAATTTACAACCATCCACAACCCTACACACGACCACGACCATCTACAACAACCATAACCACCCACCACAACAACTCTACACACAACCACAACTATCCACCACTATCCACAACCCTACACACAATCACAACCATCCACAACAACCCTACACACAACCACCACTATCCACAACCCTACACACAATCACAACCATCCACAACAACCCTACACACAACCACAACTATCCACCACTATCCACAACCCTACGCACAATCACAACCATCCACAACAACCCTACACGCCCCGCAAACAAAGATCCCCCGTGTAGCCTGTAACAGACTGTAGGGGCAAGTGCTGTTAGCGAGTAGCAGCAGCACCACCACCTATGAAGGTGATCACGGCACACGAGGGGGTGGGTGGGACAGCAACCATGCCCGGCCGCCTTTGTCTCCCCACTGAGACAACAGCCAGACAAACTTCACACACAACCGTTGTCAGACAACAGCCAGACAAACTTCACACGCAACCGTTGTCAGACAACAACCACACAAACCTCACACACAACCGCTGTCAGACAACAGCCGGACAAACCTCACACACAACCGCTGTCAGACAACAGCCGGACAAACCTCACACACCACCGCTGTCAGACAACAGCCACACAAACATCACACACCACCGCTGTCAGACAACAGCCACACGAACATCACACACCACCGCTGTCAGACAACAGCCACACAAACATCACACACCACCGCTGTCAGACAACAGCCACATCCATTGTAGCTGTCGCACACACAGCAGGTCACGGGCTGCTGCTGCTGCTGCTGGGGCGGCGTTCAGCAGTGGCGGCACGAACACAACAACGCCACCCGTTCCGAACAGGGGAAACACACCACCGCCACCACCACCACGTGGCAGTGTGGTAATGCAGCCTTGCACACCCCCCCCCCCCCCCACTTAGGTTCTCAATCTTTAAAAAAAAAGTAAAACGTTCATAACTACATTGGGTTTGATGGAACAACAAAGTTCAAACTTACGTGCCCGTTTGCTTAATTTGTGTTTTCGATTATTTACCTTTGGAGAAAAAATAACTCTGCCCATGTCTTGCACCTCCCCCAGAAAGGGCATCTCGCGTGCACACCCATCCCACAGGTTAAGAAGAACCACTGCTCTATTATATACAGCGCACTATACGATGGCCGACGTTTCGGCCGATGGCCTTTGTTCACAGCACGCGGAGTGTGTTGTTGTGGGAGTTGTTGGACGACTGTGGGCGAGTTGACGCTCAGTTCCGGGGAAGCCTTAGCGGGAGGTTGAGACTGGATGCACAACGGGTGCTATGGGTGGCGTTGGCCCGAAAGAGAGGCGCGCGAGTCACGACATCGTCAACACCGCGACCGTGACTGGGGAGGAAGGCCCTCGTCCAGCAGTGGATCAAAGTAAAGGGCCGGACACGTGCAACCGGCTATAGCCGAGCGACAACACAATGCACGGTGGGGGTTGTGCCCCTGTATCAGGAGTCGGTGGTGGGAGGGGGATGATCGCAGCGAGGAACAATACAGCCGCCTGGCAGCAACAACAGCCGACTCCATGCTGCGTTCGCGTGGCGATCGAGGCCTGGGCCCTGACCCCTGACCCCATCCAGTGACCCCCTCCCCCACGCGTGACCCACCCTGGACAACCTTCCCCGTAATCCCCTCCTTTGACCCCTCCTCCCCCGTGACCACCCCCTTCTTATGACTCCTCCCTCACGTGACCACTCCCCCGTGACCCCCTACCCTCCCGTGCCCCTCCAGGTCACAGCTCTCGCCATGTGGACCCTCCTGCGCCGTGCGGCCACGGTGCGTGGGGCCGCTGCCCTGGGGCAGCGCACGGCGGCCACAAGCGGCGATGGGCCTCGCCTGCCCGTGCTCACCCTCTTCACCAGGGTGAGGCCGGATGTGCCCCGCTCACCTCCCCACTCCCCCCCCTTCTAAACTAAACTATTTTATTTATCGGGTAAGGCCTACCGAGATGTGTAGCTCTTTTTCAGAAGCGACCTGGCCATCACGAATGACAGCTCAACGAAGTGGGCTTATCATCACCATGTGCAAATTTATAGCAGCAATCCAAATACTCTGAATGTCTGATGTTAACTATAAATGCGGAGGGGTAAACCGAGAACCCAGAGAAACATTCACGCAACCACGGGGAGAGCGTGCATACTTCAAATATATAGGCGTCAAGGTCGGGATTGAACCCATGACCTCCTGTATAACAGGCGAGGTAGTTAACATCTTAGCGACCGTGGACCCCCCCGTCACCCCAGACTTTCCCTTAACCTTTCCTTCCGACCTCATCAGCCCCCCCCCCCACTGACAGCCACTAACGCGCACCGCGGTCTCTGTGCAGCACCCCTGCGTCCTGTGCAACGAGGCCAAGGAGGTACTGAAGCCGTTCCTTCACCGGGTAAGCTACGGAGCAGCCACCACCGCGCACCCATCACAGGAGTAATTACCACCACCACCACCGCGACCACCACCCACGTGACCGCGTGTGACCGCGTCGCCCCGCGTGGCTGCACGCGTCGCCAGGTGGAGCTGGAGGAGGTGGACATCATGCATTCGGCTCACAGCTACTGGTTCCAGCGCTACCGCTACGACATCCCGGTGGTGCACCTGGACGGGCGCTTCGTCATGGAGCACCGCGTGCACCCCGGCGAGCTGGAGCGGCGCCTCAGCGCGCTCGAGCAGTACCGACGCGACAAGGCCGCGGCGGCCGGCGGCAGCAAGGGGGCGGCCGGCGGCAGCAAGGGGGCGGCCGGGGCGGCGCCCTCGCAGAACGTGGCGTGACGAGGGGCCTCCTAGGGTTACCTCCTCACCGTCCCGCTCCCAGGGCGGTGGGTCTGCTGCGTTACCCCCTGTAGACGTGGGAGGTAGTGCAGTAATTTGTAGTCACTCTGTTCAGTTGCCCGTACCAAATCGATGACGGGTACGAGGTCTCTGCCCCACAGTACGAGGCCTCTGGTTCTTCGCGTGGGCAGAGGCCGAGGTAGCGGAGAGAAGCTCGAGGCGAGGCGAGCACGTGAAGGATCGGCTTTATTGTTACAGTATTCGACTTACTTGAAAATCCAACGGCCTCTTTACATTAAATAGTGAAATAGGCAATCGCTGCCTTGGGCTGACAAAATAAAGTTTGTACGTTTAAGGAGTGCGTCAGTCGGTTCTGTTGCTCGCTTTATCCACCGTGAAGCGCCCGCGTTTCCCGGCGTCTGAGCGGAGGACCCCAGGGTACGAGCGAGGGGGGGCGGAGGAGACGGCGACGACCCTCCCCGAATGCTGCGCGACGCCGCTGGCTCCGCGGCGGTCACGACCGTCGGGTCACCGCGCCGGCGCGCAGAGCCAAGGGGGGCGGCAACCCCCGCGCCGTCACCGAGTCCCCGCTGCCGCTGCCGCTGGCGGCGGGGGCGGCTCACAGAGACTCGATCTGACGGCGCACCTTGTCCGAGGCGATGCGGTCGAGGCGGCGGTGCCGCAGGGTGACGGCGAGCGCCAGCACGGCCCCCACGCCCACGACGACGAGCTCGAAGCGCCAGAAGGCCCGCTCCTCCGCCGTCACCGAGCGGCAGCTGCACAGAAGGAGGAGAGGCCGTCTTGGTTCACGCGCCAAAGCGTTTATTTAAACTCTTGAACATTTTTTTTTTATGTTACCAGACGAGGCCCGCCGAGCTGTGTAGCTCTCTTTCAGAAGCGACCTGCCCACAATCGATAGCGCCAACAAAGTTGCTTATCATCATGCGGGTATTTATATCAGGCCAAATACCCTGAACGCGCGTTGATTATAAATATTGAGGGAAAAACCGGGGGACCCGGAGAAGAATCCACACAACCACAGGGAGAGACACCGCAAACTCCAAATATCTGCAGCGCATGGCCACGTCCGTCCCACGTTTAACCCAGGTCGCGCTTGCAAGAGCGGCCTTGTATCATGGCTGGCGGTGGTGGCCGTGCGCGCCTGTAATCCGGCACTGTGGTGGCAGTGAGCGTTGGTGGATCACAAATGTTACTAAATTCCACGTGGGCATCGAGGAGCGTCGTCTCCTTGGCTCACCAGGAGGTACAGCAAAAATGTCGACCCCACCTGTTCAATCTGTTTTTTGTACTCTTTTTAAACATTTATTTACTCGTTAAAGCCCACTGAGCTATTCACTTTTTCAGAGGCAACCTGGGCACACGGAACAATAACTTTTCACTTTATTTTACCACGGCCAACGAAGCTATATAGCTCTATCTCCTTGAAGTGGCTGGTATCATGTCAGAATTCATAGCCAAATAATCTAAATGATTTTACAAGTGGAGAGAAAAACCAGAGGACCCAGAGAAAAATCCATGCAACGATGGAGAGAGAGAGGACACGCAAACTTCCAAAAATACAGGCGTCGGGATCGAACCCACAACCTCCTGCATAACGAATGAAGAGGTAACGGCTCACAAGCGTGAGATTTTTCTGGGTGATCAGATTTACTTCTCTTCTACATTTAAAGCTTTCGTGACTGCAAGGATCCATACTCTTTGGTTCTATTACGCGACTTTACCGAATAGAACCAAAGCGTATCGGATTTACTCTTGCATCTAATCACTCGTTGGTCGATAACACCTTAATATAAAGAGAACGACAGAGCTTGGGAAATTGTGGTCGGCTCATCGCGTGGGCTGCCTTCCTGCTCGTCTTTTGTTCCTCCTCGCACCTTCGAGTCGTTCTCTCTTCACGAGACCGAGAGATTATTGTGTGCATTACAAAATGGAAATGATTAAATTACGAGTCTCAAAAGAGCTTATTATTTACTCCTGGTTAAATGACCGGCTAACCGTAAGATCACTTCTTCCATTTCCTGCGGAGTCACCGGGTGCTGCTCACCTGCGGAACTCGTCTTTGTGTGAATCCACGCAGCTGAGCTTCTCTACAAATCCCGTGGCTACGCAGGCCTCCATCGCCGTCTGTGAGGGGCGGCAGCGGCGGGGAGAGTGATCCAACCACACGGACTCAGCCCAGCAGGACCACTACCACCTCCAATCTCACCCAGCAGAACCACCACCACCTCCATCACACCCAGCAGGACCACCACCTTCCTCTTACCCAGCAGGTCCACCCACCAGCACCTCCATCTCACTCAGCAAGTCCACCAGCACCTCCATCTCACCAGGCAGAACCACCACCTCCATCGCACCCAGCAAGACCTCCACCTCCAATCTCACCCAGCAGAACCACCACCACCTCCATCACACCCAGCAGGACCACCACCTTCCTCTTACCCAGCAGGTCCACCCACCAGCACCTCCATCTCACTCAGCAAGTCCACCAGCACCTCCATCTCACCAGGCAGAACCACCACCTCCATCGCACCCAGCAAGACCTCCACCTCCAATCTCACCCAGCAGAACCACCACCACCACCACCTTCCTCTTACCCAGCAGGTCCACCCACCAGCACCTCCATCTCACTCAGCAAGTCCACCAGCACCTCCATCTCACCAGGCAGAACCACCACCTCCATCACACCTAGCAAGACCCCCACCTCCAATCTCACCCAGCAGTACCACCACCACCACCTCCCTCACCCAGCAGGACTACTACCTCCCTCTCATCAAGTCCACCACCTCCTCCATCTCACTCTGCGGGTCCACCACCAACATCTCATACAGCAGATTTATGAGCACTCGACCCCATAAGTCCACCGCCACGTTACCCAGCAAGCCCATTAGAAAACTTAACGAACAAAGTCCACCTGGCTCTACACGGTGCTCGTTTGTGTTACGTTGTGCATATAATGTGCTGTGTGTGTTTTGTGTGTTTTGTGTGTGTTTTGTGTGTGTTTTGTGTGTGGTTTGTGTGTGTTTTGTGTGCGTGTTGGGGTATGTTTTGCGTGTGTTTTGTGTGTGTTTTGTGTGTGGTTTGTGTGTGTTTTGTGTGCGGTTTGTGTGTGCGTTGGGGTATGTTTTGTGTGTGTTTTGTGTGCGTGTTGGGGTATGTTTTGTGTGTGTTTTGTGTGCGTGTTGGGGTATGTTTTGTGTGTGTTTTGTGTGTGTTTTGTGTGCGTGTTGGGGTATGTTTTGTGTGTGTTTTGTGTGCGTGTTGGGGTATGTTTTGTGTGTGTTTTGTGTGCGTGTTGGGGTATGTTTTGTGTGTGTTTTGTGTGTGGTTTGTGTATGTTTTGTGTATGTTTTGTGTGCGTGTTGGGGTATGTTTTGTGTGTGTTTTGTGTGTGGTTTGTGTATGTTTTGTGTATGTTTTGTGTATGTTTTGTGTGCGTGTTGGGGTATGTTTTGTGTGCGTGTTGGGGTATGTTTTGCGTGTGTTTTGTGTGTGTTTTGTGTGTGTGTTTGTGTGTGTGTTTTGTGTGTGTTTTGCGTGTGTTTTGCGTGTTTTGCGTGTGTTTCGTGTGTTTCGTGTGTGTTTCGTGTGTGTTTTGTGTGTGTGTTTTGTGTGTGTTTTGTGTGTGTGTTTTGTGTGTGTGTTTTGTGTGTGTGTGTGTTTTGTGTGTGTGTTTTGTGTGTGTGTTTGTGTGTTTTGTGTGTGTGTTTTGTGTGTGTTTTGTGTGTGTTTGTGTGTTTGTGTGTTTTGTTTGTGTGTTTTGTTTGTGTGTTTTGTGTGTTTTGTGTGTGTGTTTTGTGTGTGTTTTGTGTGTCTTTTGTGTGTGTTTTCTGTGTGTTTTGCGTGCGGCTTGCGGCGCTCACGCTCTGGAAGTCGGAGCACGGGGTGCAGGGCTGCACTGTGCGGTACTCCTCCAGCGCCCAGCACGGAAGCGGCGTCACTGTGGCCACACACGAGCAGCGCTCGTTCCAGGCGACCGTCCGCAACCCACCACCGCATTATGCCCCCCCCCCACCCCCCGCCCACCACCTCTGCATTAGACCGGTACGGATGAGTGGCCTAGAACCATCCCAGCATCCGCCGCCAATGCACGGCGCGGGACTCCCATCGCTGGCAAGATGAGGTGAAAAACACACAGCTCTCTGCCCTCGGATCGGGAATCGGTTCGGGGGCCATGGGCATGCACTCACGGCTGCGACGTAACCACGGACGGGGAGGAAAAAGCGGGGGGGGGGTGGATGCGGTCACGGATGCCGATTGGCTGCAGCGGTAAATTTCGCAGTAGCGGCGCTGTTGTCATTCACGTCCGCGTCACGGGCGAGACGAAACGCTGCTCACGCGCGAGTGCCAGCGGCGGGAACGCCGGCGCTGGGGGGGGGGGGGGGTCAGGAGGAGTTCCAACAGCGCGAGCCTCACCTGCAACCAGAGAGCCCCGCACACTCGCGGCGTCCGCCACTCTGAAACGAACGAGAGAGACCGTTAGCCAATCTGCAGGGTCGCGTCAACATTACCACCAGCGGCATCATTACAGCCAAGTGTAAACTAAAACTAAACTTTTGAATTTACCAGGCAAGGCCCCACTGAGCTACGTGGCTCTTTTTCAGAAGCGGCCTGGCCACAAATGACAGCTCAACTAAAGTGGCTCGTCACGTGGAAACGTATAGCAGCAAAATGACTCTTAAACGCGTGTTTCTAGATGTGGAGGGAGAACACGCAAACTCCAAATATACAAGAAGCGTCAGGGTCAGGAATCGAACCCACGCCCTCCCGTATACCAGGCGAGGTAGTTAACATCTCGCCACCATGACGAGCTCTAAAACACCATCACTATATAAATATTGCTCCTTGTAAGGCCACAAACGGTTATTGAAGAACCACAATCATTATCCTCAACATCGTCACCATGGTCATGATGCACACCGCCATCGTTACCATATCACCATCAACAATGCTCTTCTCACCCCCGCTATGACCCTTATCACCACCACCATCGTCACTGCTAACGTAACAATCATAAATCTTCTCACCATCATCCCAGCATTACTAAAACCATAATCGTCCCATCACCATCGTAAGATCGCCAACATAACCATTTACCATCACAATTACCATGATTATGATTACCATCACTATCAGCACAATCACTATCATTACAACTACCATCACTATAATTACCATGACTCATCACTATCAATCCTGACCATCACTATACGATTACCATCACAATCACCTTCAATATCACAATCATCATCATTACAATCACCATCACTATCCTTACAATTACCATCACAATCACCATCAGTATCTCAATCACCATCATTACAATCACCATCACTATCATTACAATTACCATTACAATCACCATCAGTATCATCTCAATCACCATCATTACAATCACCATCACTATCATTACAATTACCATCACAATCACCATCAGTATCATCTCAATCACCATCACTATCATTACAATCACCATCAGCATAATCTCAGTCACCATCATTACAATCACCATCACTATCATTACTATTACCATCACAATCACCATCAGCATCATCTCAATCACCATCATTACAATCACCATCACTATCATTCCAATTACCATCACAATCACCATCAGTATCATCTCAATCACCATCACAATCACCATCACTATAATTATTACCATCACAATCACCATCAGTATCATCTCAATCACCATCACTATCATTACAATTACCATCATTACAATCACCATTACTATCATTACAATTACCATCACAATCACCATCATCACAATCACCATCATTACAATCACCATCACTATCATTACGATTACCATCACAATCACCATCAGTATCATCTCAGTCACCATCGTTACAATCACCATCACAATCACCATCAGTATCATCTCAATCACCATCATTACAATCACCATCAGCATCATCACAATCACCATCAGTATCATCTCAATCACCATCAGCATCATCACAATCACCATCAGTATCATCTCGGTCACCATCATCACCCGGCCCCCCGCACTGACCGGGTCAGGCCCAGTTCCGCTCCAAACGCGGCCAGAAGCAGCGGCAGCAGCAGCGGCCCCGGCTCCCAGCCCCGCATCGCGGGTCGGGGAGGCCCCCGGGGCCCCAGAGAGGGACGCGGGGAGGCCGCGGGTCGGGGAGGCCGCGGCGCAGGCGGCGATACGCGAGCCCTGGGGGGGCCCGTGTCACTGGGGGGGGGGGGCTGTGTCACTGGGGGGCCGTGTCACTGGGGGGGGGGGGGGCGTGTCACGGGGGGGGGGGCAGTGTCACTGGGGGGGGGCCCGTGTCACTGGGGGGGGGGGGGCCCGTGTCCCTGGAGGCGTGGAGGCGGCGACCTCTGGAGCGTGGCGCCGCTACGCGAGGCTGCGGCTGCTACGAGACGAGGAGGAGGCCGAGGAGCGGTGGCGGCGCCACCATGACAGTCGGTAACGTCACACGGGCGGCGGTGACGTGGAGGCGGGGGGGGGCTGGCGAGGGGGCGGGGCCGGCGGGGGGGCGGGGCCGGCGGGGGGGGAGGAGCGGTGGCGCAGTGGTTAGCGCTATGCCGCGCTCACCGCTGCGATTCCTGCTCACGGCCACCACCAACACCCGGTGGCGATTATCTGAACCGGTCCTGGGCCTCTCCGCCTAGGTCGACTCAACCTCAAACGAGCACCTCGTGGGGTGTGCAAACATCGCCAAAATGGAGACAAAGGCGGCCGGGGGTGGTGCTGGCCACCCACCCCCTCGTGTGCCCTTCCGGCTTGCTCGCTAACAACACTTGCCCCAACAGTCTGTTAAGGCTACACGGGGGATCTTTGTCTTGTCTTTGGTGGTGGTGGTGGGACTCCGCGTGTGCCAGTAGGGGGCACAGCTCCTGGTGCGCCCCACGGCACCGGCTGGGTCTGTCCCGAGACCTCCTCTTGTCAGCAGCGAGAGCCTTCGGCATTTCACGTGGCCTCAAAGTGCACCTAGCCTGGCACGGGCGCCGTGGCGATGTCTCCGTCACTTAGTGGCGAATGGCGGGGTGTTGGTCCTGGGCCTCTCCTAGGTCGACTCAGCCTCAAATGTGTATCCGGTGCGGTGTTTAAATACAGCATCGCCACTGGGGAGACAAAGGCGGCCGGGAGTGGTGTTGGCCACCCACCTCCACGATGGTGATGACATCACCCAGCACCACGATGATGATGACGTAGCCCAGCACCACGATGGTGATGACATCACCCAGCACCACGATAGTGATGACATCACCCAGCACCACGATGGTGATGACATCACCCAGCACCACGATGGTGATGACATCACCCAGCACTACGATGGTGATGACATCACCCAGCACCACGATAGTGATGACATCACCCAGCACCACGATGGTGATGACATCACCCAGCACCACGATGGTGATGACGTAGCCCAGCACCACGATGGTGATGACATAGCCCAGCACCACGATGGTGATGACATCACCCAGCACCACGATGGTGATGACATAGCCCAGCACCACGATGGTGATGACGTAGCCTAGCACTACGATGGTGATGACGTAGCCCAGCACTACGATGGTGATGACGTAGCCCAGCACTACGATGGTGATGACATCACCCAGCACTACGATGGTGATGACATCACCCAGCACCACGATAGTGATGACATCACCCAGCACCACGATGGTGATGACATCACCCAGCACCACGATGGTGATGACATCACCCAGGACCACGATGGTGATGACATCACCCAGCACTACGATGGTGATGACGTAGCCTAGCACCACGATGATGATGACATCACCCAGCACCACGATGGTGATGACGTAGCCTAGCACTACGATGGTGATGACATCACCCAGCACCACGATGGTGATGACGTAGCCCAGCACCACGATGGTGATGACATTACCCAGCACCACGATGGTGATGACATCACCCAGCACCACGATAGTGATGACATCACCCAGCACCACGATGGTGATGACATCACCCAGCACCACGATGGTGATGACATCACCCAGCACCACGATGGTGATGACATCACCCAGCACCACGATGGTGATGACATCACCCAGCACCACGATGGTGATGACGTCACCCAGCACCACGATGGTGATGACATCACCCAGCACCACGATGGTGATGACGTCACCCAGCACCACGATGGTGATGACATCACCCAGCACCACGATGGTGATGACATCACCCAAGCACCACGATGGTGATGACATCACCCAGCACCACGATGGTGATGACATCACCCAGCACCACGATGGTGATGACATCACCCAGCACCACGATGGTGATGACATCACCCAGCACCACGATGGTGATGACATCACCCAGCACCACGATGGTGATGACATCACCCAGCACCACGATGGTGATGACATCACCCAGCACCACGATGGTGATGACATCACCCAGCACCACGATGGTGATGACATCACCCAGCACTACGATGGTGAGGACATCACCCAGCACCACGATGGTGAGGACATCACCCAGCACCACGATGTTTATGACGTAGCCCAGCACCACGATGGTGATGACGTATGTAGTGACATCGCCGGATGTCAGTGTGCAATGCCGGCCCTCTAGAGGCACTGCGTGTGGTGTAACACCATCGTGGACACGTCAGCGGTGTGGGTGTAGTACCGGCCCTAGAGGGGCTCGTGAGCGCTGATGGATAGCGCTGGATAGCACCACGCTTGGCGTGCAGTGCCAGCCCCTACCGGACAGGGTGTGGGAGTGCCGGCCATAGGAATGAGGTTACTAAAGGCCATGGCACTCAGGTTGACCCGAGAGGACACGTGACCAGTTAAGTCTACAAAGGGGCCCAAGTGGGGGCTAGGGGTGGTCACGTGGTTAGCATCGAGATACTTCCCGAGGATTCTGGAAGGTGGGCGTGGCCAAGGGCGGAGCCAGCCACGCCGTAGAGAATATCAGCCGGGTCCCCCAGAGGGATCGGCGTTGTTGTTGTTCATCCTGAAGAACCCTTCGTCAGCGTTCTACGTTCTCCGAGTCTCCAACACGTGGACCTGGACCCGAGCTGTGGCCTCGATCCGTAGTAGCAGTTACGTTGTAATTAGTGTAGTTACTAGTGTAGTGTAGTTACTAGTGTAGTGTAGTTACTAGTGTAGTGTAGTTACTAGTGTATTAACTAGTGTAGTTAGCCTGGTGGTCACCACCACAGGTTGTTATTCCGTTTGGGGAAAGTTACCCCGTGTGTCGGAGTTAAGTAAATGTGTTGCCTCCAAGTGTACGTCTGCAACTCAGTTGAACTCACTACTACATAGCCCACCACGCGATGGCCCAGGACCACGATCCCCCCCACACACACACACCACACACACACCACACACACAGCTCTAGTAATGTTGACACATTCCATCAGCCACACGGTTATTCCTTCCTGGGGCGACGTAGTGTAAGCAGCGTTGGCACCGCGCAAGCGACACTCTTGGCATCGGTGTCGACATTCAGGGTCTCATCAGCAGGGTCGGGCTCCCTCGAGACGATGCTGGTGGAACTTGCCAGATGTTGTTTATAGGCAAGGTCGTTCTCTGTTAGATTCCCAGTTCTATGCATAATGCAGTGGTGTAACTACATTATTAGTGGCATAGTGATTACATTATCAGTGCTGTAACTACATTATCAGTGGTGTAGTAACTACATTATCAGTGGTGTAGTAACTACATTATCAGTGGAGTAGTAACTACATTATCAGTGGTGTAGTAACTACATTATCAGTGGCGTAGTAACTACATTATCAGTGACGTAGTAACTACATTATCAGTGGCGTAGTGACTACATTATCAGTGACGTAGTAACTACATTATCAGTGGAGTAGTAACTACATTATCAGTGACGTAGTAACTACATTATCAGTGGTGTAGTAACTACATTATCAGTGACGTAGGAACTACATTATCAGTGGCGTAGTGACTACATTATCAGTGACGTAGTAACTACATTATCAGTGGAGTAGTAACTACATTATCAGTGACGTAGTAACTACATTATCAGTGGCGTAGTGACTACATTATCAGTGACGTAGTAACTACATTATCAGTGGAGTAGTAACTACATTATAAGTGGCATAGTAACTACATTATCAGTGGCGTAGTAATTACATTTGCAGTGGTGTAGTAACTACATTATCAGTGGTGTTGTAATTACATTATTAGTGGTGTAGTAACTACATTATAAGTGGCGTAGTAACTACATTATCAGTGGAGTAGTAACTACATTGCCAGTGGTGTAGTAACTACATTATCAGTGGTGTAGTAACTACATTAACAGTGGTGTAACTACATTATCAGTGGCGTAGTAACTGCATTTTCAGTGACGTAGTAATTACATTATAAGTGGCGTAGTAACATGATCAGTGGTGTAGTAATTACATTATAAGTGGTGTAGTAACTACATTGTCAGTGGTGTAGTAACTACATTATCAGTGGTGTAGTAACTACATTTTAACACGTAGGCTTTCGCGACCAGTATCTATAATAAAGGGTTTTTTTGGGTGAGATTGTAAATGTTGTGGCTTGGCTCTCCAACACACCAGTGCGCTACACTAGTGTAGTGTCTTTAAAAAATACTCACACCGACACGTTGTAACAAGTCACCTGCTTACACTTTGTTCACCTATTGCACCAGTTGTAGGCACTCCGATAACTATCTATACTGTCACTTATGCTTAACCTCTCCCCACTCTTATCTACCTTTCACCTCCCTTATCCGCCACTCAGCAGCTTTGCTCTCAGTAAGTCCGCACACAGCATCTTTGCACGCAGCGACTCTACACACAGCGTCTTCACACACAGCGTCTCTACACACAGCGTCTTCACACACACCGACTCTACACACAGCGTCTTCACACACAGCGTCTCTACACACAGCGTCTTCACACACAGCGACTCTACATCTCCACCGCTGCCCTCACCTACGCTCCCTCAGACCCACTCACCCATCTGTCCTGGGCGGGGGGATCAGCCAACACCCACCTAGCGGCAGCGGCGAGATGTCTTCACACTTGGTCCCCGGCAACAACAACTCCCTCTCCGCTCGCGCACACACCCTTATATCCCTCTGCTAATTATCCGAGACCTCTCATGCATCTCTTTAGGCTCTTGCCAGGCCGGCGCCTGTTGGCTGTTGTATATGCCCCCCTTTCCATCTTAATATTAGCAAGTAATGTTTCAATACATATAGATACATATTTCTATTGTTTCTTTT